AAAGCCACCATTTTCGAAAAATTGTGGGTCTTATAATTCTAATAGGGTCTTGCAGTGTCTTACAGGGTCTTATAGTGTCTTATAGTGTCTTACAGGATCTTATAGTCCTTAGAATGAGTGTAATACGGTTCGGCAAGCTGAGTGCGAGCAGGCCTTTATTTCATAATGTACCAGGCATATATATTAATGTAGCGTTGCTCTGTAGTATGCAAAACCAAACTGTTACAAAATGCTACATAATCCTATAGTAGTCTTGGTTTGTGTTACGCACTGACTTGTATTGGGAGAAATTAATCTCCTATTTTAATTTTAATTGGCTCGTTGTAAGCAGTGCCTAACAAAGGACGATACCATATAATCAACAATATTAAAGATACGACCCAAAACAGTTTCTAGTTACAATTAATTAAGATTTATTATAATAAAATAAAATTACAATCTTCAACTTACAGTATGGTAGATCTCGTACCGGTACACAGTTAATACAATTAGAAATAATGATGCCAATAAATAATGCGAAATAAACACATATAAGTAGGAGCACACAAATACACAAAGAATAAAACACGCCTCGTAATGTTAAGAAAATCTATGTGAAAAATCTCCGTCTCTCGTCGTGCCTGTCAATCCCTTATATAGGTGGGTCTACCGACGCCTAAGCCCTGCCTTCTACAAGCTACATGACATTTCGAGAAAAATCACAATCATTCTACCAAACACTATTTGGAAAAGATTAATTATTTTTATTCGTTGGCGGCGTAAACAAGAATACATCAAAGACCTAAGCCACACCCCTTTGTGAACACAGCATCTCATGCGGGGTCAATCAGAGGGCACGCACGAGAAATATTCTGTAAACAAGCTCTCTATAACAGTTTGCGTGCAGAAATTAATAATACAAATGTGATGAATGTACTTTTTTGTAAAATACGTGCCGGTAGCCAGTCGCCGGTAAACGGTGTCAGTCGCCGGTAGCCGATAGACAAAGCTGCTTGAACTTCATCTGTCTTCTGACTTGATTTCTAGTATGCACGCATAAACATGCGTTCGCTAATGTAAATTGTATGAACTTTTTTTTTTTTTTTTTTTTTTTGTATTTGAAAAAAAAAAAAAAAAAAAAAAAAAAAGATTAACTTGAGATTACTAAGAGTATTGGACTATAACATGACAAACTTCAACTTATTTTGCATCAAACGACTAAAAAATGAAAAAAAATGTTGTATGCTAATTGATAGAGATTAAGAGACGAAGAGGCAGACGAAAGTGTGCAGGTTGAAGCCTTGGTCTTGAGACTCATCCGTTGACGGCAGAACGAGCAAACATGTTATTCCCAGGCTAAAAAAAAATTGGAAATCTATGCTGGTTTCAAAAATAAACATGATGAAATTTAACTTTTTTGCGTAATATATGATAGCTCCCACGGTAAATATGCAACTTTTGTGGTAATGTATGATAGCTCCCATGGTAAATATGCAACTGTTGTGGTAATATATGATAGCTCCCACGGTAAATATGCAACTTTTGTGGTAATGTATGATAGCTCCCACGGTAAATATGCAACTGTTGTGGTAATATATGATAGCTCCCACGGTAAATATGCAACTGTTGTGGTAATGTATGATAGCTCCCACGGTAAATATGCAACTGTTGTGGTAATGTATGATAGCTCCCACGGTAAATATGCAACTGTTGTGGTAATATATGATAGCTCCCACGGTAAATATGCAACTGTTGTCGTAATGTATGATAGCTCCCACGGTAAATATGCAACTGTTGTGGTAATATATGATAGCTCCCACGGTAAAAAGCAACTGTTGTGGTAATGTATGATAGCTCCCACGGTAAATATGCAACTGTTGTGGTAATGTATGATAGCTCCCACGGTAAATATGCAACTGTTGTGGTAATGTATGATAGCTCCCACGGTAAATATTCAACTGTTGTGGTAATGTATGATAGCTCCCACGGTAAATATGCAACTGTTGTGGTAATGCATGATAGCTCCCACGGTAAATATGCAACTGTTGTGGTAATGTATGATAGCTCCCACGGTAAATATGCAACTGTTGTGGTAATGTATGATAGCTCCCACGGTAAATATGCAAATGTTGTGGTAATATATGATAGCTCCCACGGTAAATATGCAACTGTTTTGGTAATATATAATATCTACCATGGTAAATACGCAACTCTCGTCTTAATATATCATTGTTTCCACCGTAAATACGCCACGGTTGGGATAATATGTAATAGTTACCACGTACAATATGCCACAATATCATTTTTACTATAGATCGGACAAGACAAGTAGCTGGACATCTCGATAAAACTCTACCTCTGCTTCACTGATAACATACTATTACGCTACATTACTAAAGACCAGGGGGTCACCAAACTTTTTTTCGCAGCGGGCCGATTAATGGACAAAATGACGAGCTCATTTATTTCTAATAATTATGTACAATACTTGCAAGCCAGAACTAAAGTTCTGGGAAAAAAAACAGTCTAACCCCCCATCCCCCAACCGACCAACGATGCTGCTGAGTGCTGTCCATGGCTGGACATGTCAATAGTTCTAAGATGGGGGGTGTGAATATTTTTTGTATACAGCTATTTTATAATTAAATAAATGTATGTCATTTTTTTTCTAACGCCATGATTATGTTTGCTCATATTTTTATGTGAAGCGTGGTTAGCCCAGCCCTAGGTTGGTGTACCGCGCTAAATAAGACCACTGCAATAATAATAATAATGTGACGTCGACCAAAATTGACAACTTTGGCAGCCAGGTAGGATCTGAACGCTGTGAATCATCTCTATCTTTTCAGTGAGAAAAACAACTATTTCGTTTCGGAGCTCGCAAAAAGTTAAAATGATTTAACCACTGCTGAACCTCACAGCAAGTCACAGAATTCAGAATCAATTTCTTCAAGAGAAGCTTGGAACAGAAGGTGATTGGGTGCATGTTCCCGAATGAACTTCCGGCAACAACTAAAGAGATCTCTAACGTTGTTTTTTTTACTGTGCTCTGTTTCTCGTCGTACTTCTATTTGTCCTGTTCGCTGACGAAGGCTCTAAGCCGAAACGATCACATCTTATTGTCCTGTCTTTTGGTTCAAGCTTCAACATACCTTGTTTTACTTTGTGATTTCAGTACACAAGAAACATCGAAGTCTTACACACAGAGTGCTTGCTTATGTATGGTTCAGTGTGTGTACAGAGTGATTAGACTTTCCAAATCTTCCAACTGAGTTATGATCTGTCCCACCAGACCTTTCCTCACTCCAGCCATGTTCTTTCCTCCATCAACTGTAACACATCGAAGCAGATTCCACTGAAGGTTATAGTGTGTACACGTTTTTGCACTGCCATGAAAATGTCTTTTCCAGTTGTTGTTCCATGCGTGCTGCAAACAGATGCCAGCTCTTCCGTTATCTGAAAGTCCAACTTGTCACCACAAAAAAATACGAGAAGATTTGACGTACCTGAGAGATCAGTAGACTCATCCAGCGCCTAGCTTTTTCACGTATCTGTAGCACTGTGCTCTCTCCAAGTTCTTCTGTTCTCCGCACAATTGAACTTGCCGGAAGGCTGATAGTTCTAATCGCGGTGCGTACGATTTTTAATGTCCCCGTATATTTCCTATACTCCTCTTCATTTCATCCATTTACAGTTTGTGGTACCGGGTAGTAATAAGACTGTGATATATATTAGCGGGAATAGGCTCAATGGATTTGGATTCTTATTTAATTTTTTAACCAGCTTTTCCACACACAAAACAACCACAAGTTACTTGGTAGTTGCTGTTTTTTAAATGATGACGTCATTTGTTAATTAATTCTTATTGAAATACATTTTGTTTTATGCTGAAATGACTTCGAGTTTTTTATGCTGAAATGACTTCGAGTTTGAACCATGTTAATTTTCACCAGTAACTTTATTTTTACCAAGGATAGACTGTGATAATTTGATCTGGACGTACACTCAGTATAAATTAAAATCACTAGCAAATACACGTCTGCAAAACAAAGTGACCGCAGTTTGCAATATAAACGTTGGTCATCTACTTTTAGTCGTTAACTTGTTTTGACGCCAGCTTAACTCGATCCCACCAGCCACTGCGATGGGAGTAGTTATTGTAGTCATTATCTATACTGTATGTTAATTTATTTATTATTAATATACCGCATTGCACGAATTTGAGACGATAGTGTACGATTTAAGGAGTTCGGGGGTAAACAGGTCGGCAATAAAGAAGAAAATCTAGTGACAATTATTTAAATTTTAAAATGGTACCTTTAAGGCACATAGCAGCCAGGAGGTATTGGCACGTGTGGTGATCTCCTAGTATTCTAAACATATGATTTAATTTTATTTAATTTTAAATTTATCACAGCGTCTCTTGTTCCGTAGTTGTATCAAGCAAATTCAAGTACCGTCGGCGGGCCTGATGAAATGACGTCACTTATTGGATACAGCCCGCGGGCCGTGGTGACTCTTTGCCATTGAGGATATGATATCTGCGTGTCATAAATGACCAATCATGGTATGATATCTGTCTGTCATAAATGACCAAAAGATTGAGAAGGCTGGCACGTTTTTGTTTAGCATTTTAATAAAAATAGATTTAGTTTTCAATATTTCAATTAGAAAGAAGAATGTGAAGAAGAGTGGGTGAGTGGGGGTGTTTAAAGTAGACACTCTCACACAGTATTAAAATATTCTAACGTTGAAGATTCTGTAACTGAACACCAAGAAGTTGAGGTTCAAATCAATAGTTCAGCTAAGGTTAATTTATTTTTATCGACAGAGATGAAATTACTCTCCACTATTTTTTTCGATGACGCCTAAGTTCCCAGAATAATCTGAATTAAAATCCATCATCTTTTAAAATATGGCGCCACGCGTTTGGGAAAAATTTGATTTCAAACAGGAAACATTCTCAGCACAAACTACCGGAAGGAAGTCCCAGCCGCCATTTTGATTTGACTTGGAGGAAGAGACAAGATACGTCAGGTGAAATATGGTGAACGCTTGGTTCATTGTCGTTATCAACATCCCACAAAGGGGGATTGCTGGGGAATTTTTGATGAAATTTTAACACTGTCAAGATATTATATATATGTAAGTTTTGTGTATTTCTGTGAACACAAAATTCAAGAAGCATTAATAATTGAATCAGGATAAATCCATTCAAGAACTCTCAAACGCAGACTTATTGGAATACTGTAAGTCCTAGATCCAGATGTAAAAAAAACAAAAAACACAAGGAACTAAAAACCACCTCATCGCCGAATTAAAATCAACTCTGAAACTTTGTACTAAGGGCTGCACAATACTTGGATGAAATAGTTACATAAAATTTTGAATAAAAAGCTACCCAAAAGATGGAATTAAAAGCTACCCAAAAGTTGGAATCAAAAGCTACATATAAGTTGGAATCAAAAGCTACCCAAAAATTGAAATCAAAAGCTACCCAAAAGTTGAAATCAAAAGCTACACAGAAATTGGAATTAAAAGCTACCCAAATCACAGAATTCTGAACATGGAATTGAAACCAATCCCTCTTTAAAAATTTTATAACCCCATCTCAATTTTTTTTTCAACACTGCCCCCATCACTTTCACCTGAATACATCACTGCCTCCATCACTTTCACCTGAATACATCACAGAAGGCAAAATTAAAGTATTCTAAGTTAATATAAGATAACATGTACAAATTAAAATTATAATTAATTTTAAGTATTGTATAACTATCAGGTGTTTTCTATGGTCATCCAAACCTTTGCATTCGTCTTTGAGTTCACTATTCTTATAATATCATGTGGTATCAATAGAACTTTGACATAACTAAGTCTTTAAGTTTACTATTCTTTCCCCATTACCAATAGTATATGGTGTCAATAGAACTTTGACAGGACATAATAAAGTTGTGAGTTTTGGCTCGGTGAAATGTCATCTGATGATTAACATGATCTGGTGGCACACTTTTCTGGTGGAACCCTTTTCTGGTGGCACACTTTTCTGGTGGCACACTTTTCTGGTGGCACACTTTTCTGGTGGCACACTTTTCTGGTGGAACCCTTTTCTGGTGGCACACTTTTCTGGTGGAACACTTTTCTGGTGGCACACTTTTCTGGTGGCACACTTTTCTGGTGGAACCCTTTTCTGGTGGCACACTTTTCTGGTGGAACCCTTTTCTGGTGGAACCCTTTTCTGGTGGCACACTTTTCTGGTGGAACCCTTTTCTGGTGGCACACTTTTCTGGTGGAACCCTTTTCTTGTTGCACACTTTTCTGGTGGAACCCTTTTCTGGTGGAACCCTTTTCTGGTGGAACCCTTTTCTGGTGGCACACTTTTTTTGTGGAACCCTTTTCTGGTGGCCTACTTTTCTGGTGGAACCCTTTTCTGGTGGCACACTTTTCTGGTTGCACACTTTTCTGGTGGAACCCTTTTCTGGTGGCACACTTTTCTGGTGGCACACTTTTCTGGTGGAACACTTTTCTGGTGGCACACTTTTCTGGTGGAACACTTTTCTGGTGGCACACTTTTCTGGTGGAACACTTTTCTGGTGGTAATAAGAGTGAGAGACTGCAATCAGGTTAGAAAAATGGACATGAGTGGAACAAAGTATGGGAATGTGGATCACATTCCTCTTGTCGACTTCTCGGATAGTACATTACAGACATGTTTTGTTTTTATTTAATTCTCTTTTTAATGTGGTTTGTTCGCCGGTGAAGGCTTCTTGTCGACACGTTCGTTGTTTTGTTGCGTTCTTTGTTTTTCAGTTTACCCAAACTTTGTTTCACTCATTTCCTTCTCTGATGACATGGTGTGTTCCGCATCTACACCGTCCAGCAGTGACACCATTGTGTGTACCATCCGCATGTCATCACGAACTCCTTTTAGTTTATGTTTTTTTCCCAAGTTAATAAAATTTGGTTGACAGTTTGCAGTAATTAGTGAGAAATGCTGATAGTCTGGAGTGATTCTATTGTAAGAAAGTGAACACTCTCTATTCTCAGAACGAGGTTAATGTTACTTTCCTTTTCTCATGTCTTATTTGGACGTCTACTACAACTTTTTGCCAGACGGGGAATTTCACGAAGAGTGAGTATATCAAAGTTGTTTTATAATTACCCCTATGATGTCGTGATGTTTAGACTAGATAGATGTAACGACAGACAGACATATGGACAGACGGGTGGACAGACGGAATGGGTGAGCAGAAGTTAAGATAGTGAGTGAGGTTTTTGAAATGGATTATACTGAAGTAGATATAGTTTTATCATCCATCCATCCATGTGGCACTACAGCCCATGTAGGGCTTTGGCCTGCCTAAAAATATAATTTTATCATCCATCCATCCATCCCTGTGGCACTACATCCATTGTAGGGCTTTGGCCTGCCTAAAAATATAATTTTATCATCCATCCATCACTGTGGCACTACAGTCCATGTAGGAATTTGGCCTGCCTCAAAATATAGCTATATGAAAATTAAAATATCGACAGATTTACAAATAATTTTTTTCTTTAAAATTATCTTTACATTCAGTTGAAACATCAGATCATTAGATGCTATTTACCATGTGTAGCTTATATAAGTCATCTAATTTGTTTAATTGATAAATCAGCTTGGTAGTAAACGTCATCCTCTCTATCCGCCATTGTTGCCAGCGGAATGTGTTTTATTGACATAACACATTTGAAATAGAGAAATGTCCACACGTTTTAATTTGTATATTTTTCAGCTTATATGAAAAATGGCTCAGGCGTCGCCTAGATTATGCTTCCATTCGAAAGACTGGCCATCACATCGCGCCTGGACTCGTCCATACATTACTCCACAACGGCAACTGTCACAACGCCGTGGCCAGGTAACACACAAATCTTCTGAGTTTCGTCTGAATTATTTATTTTGTACAAATATTAATTCTGTAAAAAAAAATAGGCAGATCACCAATGAGTACACGACGATAGAACTAAATAACTTAGCACTTTCCTTTGTGAGGTTGAATTCGTTGTATATTTAGAAAAACCGTGGGGATAAAACAACGCAGCCCGCCCCCACACCCACACATTTCCCAAAAACTATTTGTGGCGTAAACTATATGGTCGCGAGGGTCAATACGTAAGTCAATAGCCACAAGTGACCATCTGATAAAATGTGTGGACATCGGAAGCTTTCCTTTTCAATAATAGGTTTTTAGGGAGTAGGTTTTTAGAAATCGAATCTGACTGTAGCACTGTTTCAATTGAATCTGACTGTAGCACTGTTTCAATTGAATCTGACTGTAGCACTGTTTCAATTGAATCTGACTGTAGCACTGTTTCAATTGAATCTGACTGTAGCACTGTTTCAATTGAATCTGACTGTAGCACTGTTTCAATTGAATCTGACTGTAGCACTGTTTCAATTGAATCTGACTGTAGCACTGTTTCAATTGAATCTGACTGTAGCACTGTTTCAATTGAATCTGACTGTAGCACTGTTTCAATTGAATCTGACTGTAGCACTGTTTCAATTGAATCTGACGTCACAATGAAGGTTCCCACCTTATCTTATATTAATCCGTTTCAATTTTCGCCATAAAATGTGTTTCAATAAATTGAATAACGCATCTATTTAAAATAGTGGGGGGGGAGGGGGGGCACAGGGTGAGTGGAAATATTCAAGGAATGATTGGATAGTGCTTACAAAATTTGTTTCCTGCCTGCTCTTCCGTGCGTCAGTCGCAAAGAGAGTCCGATGCATTGATGGCGTCATTTACAGGCAAATTTTCAAACCCGGAGAGGAGTTCCGTAGGCGGATAGCATTGGCATGATGAAACATTCCGACGTCACTGGTGCCAGGTTGTACCAGCCACATGATGTACCCTTGAATTACACAGCGGCATGGAGAGACGCGATTTCATGTGTAGGGAATCAGCTTATAATTCCTAAAAGGAATCATCCCTGGCCTTGTGGATTTCGCTCTGCGTCACATAGTCACGGGCGGATGCCAAAAAAAAAATCTTTGCATTGCCTATATGGTAAATGTTCAACTACCCCCACCCCCACCCCAGTGATTATGACCTTTATGGTTAGAACATTGAGATAAAACCTTTATAGTTAGAACTTTAAGATAAAACCGTTATGGTTGAACCATTGAGATAAAACCTTTATAGTTAGAACTTTAAGATAAAACCTTTATTGTTAGAACATTGAGATAAAACCTTTATAGTTAGAACTTTAATATAAAACCTTTATAGTTAGAACTTTAAGATAAAACCTTTATGGTTAGAACATTGAGATAAAACCTTTATAGTTAGAACTTTAAGATAAAACCTTTATGGTTAGAACATTAAGATAAAACCTTTATGGTTAGAACATTAAGATAAAACCTTTACAGTTAGAACATTGAGATAAAACCTTTATAGTTAGAACATTAAGATAAAACCTTTATGGTTAGAACATTAAGATAAAACCTTTATAGTTAGAACATTGAGATAAAACCTTTACAGTTAGAACATTGAGATAAAACCTTTATAGTTAGAACTTTAAGATAAAACCTTTATGGTTAGAACATTAAGATAAAACCATTATGGTTAGAACATTAAGATAAAACCTTTATGGTTAGAACATTAAGTAAAACCTTTATGGTTAGAACATTAAGATAAAACCTTTACAGTTAGAACATTGAGATAAAACCTTTATAGTTAGAACTTTAAGATAAAACCTTTATCGTTAGAACATTAAGATAAAACCTTTACAGTTAGAACATTGAGATAAAACCTTTACAGTTAGAACATTGAGATAAAGCCTTTATGGTTAGAACATTAAGATAAAACCTTTATAGTTAGAACATTAAGATAAAACCTTTACAGTTAGAACATTGAGATAAAACCTTTATGGTTAGAACATTAAGATAAAACCTTTATGGTTAGAACATTAAGATAAACCGTTTATAGTTAGAACTTTAAGATAAAACCTTTATGGTTAGAACATTAAGATAAAACCTTTACAGTTAGAACATTGAGATAAAACCTTTACAGTTAGAACATTGAGATAAAACCTTTATAGTTAGAACATTAAGATAAAACCTTTATAGTTAGAACTTTAAGATAAAACCTTTACAGTTAGAACATTGAGATAAAACCTTTATAGTTAGAACATTAAGATAAACCCTTTATGGTTAGAACATTAAGATAAAACCTTTATGGCTAGAACATTGATGTGTATGTAATATGTAAGTATAGATTTCACAGGGATCCTTATTTTATTTCCGTCCGATCCTGAGCGGTAGGCAGGGGGACATTGGGGTTGGTGTCACCTGGTGTGGTTCGCATCCCCTTCTAGCCTAGTGACGCCACTGAGGTAGAACTCATACGACGACTTAGAGCTCAGGCAAATGTTTCTACTCTCAGAACATGATGGCTGCTTAGTGTTGCTATGCAACAAAAACATGTTGGATGTAGCTTCCTCATTTCCAGGAAAACAAATCTGCACATTAAAGTGCAAGTATCACAACCTACTTCCGGCAATAGCAATGACGATCACTTCAGTTTTTCACTAGTTTCTATTTCTTGTCATATTTTCATTTTTCCTGTCTGCTGAAGAAGGCTCTTAGCTGAAACGTTCTTATCTTATTGTCCTGTCTTTCGATCCAAGCTTCCACATACCTTGTTCTACTATTTCCTTCACACGGCTAGAACGTAGTCCTTCATTGATGATCACAACTTGACCACTTAATAGCCCTGTAGATGTACATACAAGTGGCGGCACGCACGATGATACGGTGCAAACATATACATAAAGACACAGACGCACTCACACGCATACATATTGTCACGAATGACTGGGGCGTGGGTCAAGGACAGAGCTGCATTGTTGTTTAGGTAACTTATAGGATGAACGGAAATTGCTGTTATTTTAGGGAGGGCATTGTTAAGGGGGTGATGTTAAGGTCAATAGATTCTCACATCTTTGACGTAGAGGGGATCATTTCTTTCCATAATATTATGTTTCGGGCTTTCCAGACTTCGCATGGTAATTTTGGGGTTAATGACATAAAATTTTAATTGACCGGATATTAGGGGCATGGTTTAATAGAGAGAATTCCTGGGCCACCTATGAAGAGGTAGAGAATGGTATGTAAGACAGAGCTCTTCATGACATGAGGAGTAGAGAGAAAAGAGTTGATAGGGGAAAAGTTGCAAGAGATCAGGAGACGAGTTGGCTGGTAGAACATAGGAATAGATTAGACCAGGCCTGCACAACATACGGCCCGTGTGCCACATACGGCCCGCCAGCATCCACTTTGCGGCCCGCGAAGTAACAAAATATTCTCTATTCTTATTATTTTCTTAAAAGCTTTCCCCACTGTCCTATTCTCTTTTGGCTCGCACAAGTCCTGTCCTATTTTCTTTTGGCCCGCACAAGTCCTGTCCTATTTTCTTTTGGCTCGCACAAGTCCTGTCCTATTTTCTTTTGGCCCGCACAAGTCCTGTCCTATTTTCTTTTGGCCCGCACATGTTTTTCATAGAGTATTACGGCCCGCCTTAGATTTTGAGTTGTGCAGGCCTGGATTAGACGATATAGTTGAACAATCTTGGCTATAGAGATACATATATAGTTGACAATTAGTGGTACCAACACAAGAACTTTTTTTTAATCTTAGTAATTAACATATTAGTTTCATCCTCTATACACCTGGAGTTGGAGTTGTTTAGTTTTCATGTAAGTCTACGTTGTGCTTTGTCTGTCCCAACGCCTAGATGCCCAAAATATAAATCACAGAGAGGAGCGGTCCTGTGCTGACCACCACAAACTCAATACAGTTCGTGATAAGTCAGGACCGGAGCCCTCCTCCACAACAACCGTTCTGTGACACACACATACATATGCATCTTTTGGTACATCATTGTGTATCTTGAAAATGAATAACATATCCATCATTAAATAATTGTGTTATCTTTATATGCATAGCATATACATAATATGTAACTAGTAACTATTTCCGTCAATATATGCAAACATATACATCTATAGAAGCATATGTAGGCCTACTTATGCCAGTATGATTATAATGTACAAATAGCTATTGCTTGTTATTAAAAGAGAGTGAACTCTAGATGGGAGACAACTAACTTTGTTGGGGTTTACTTTCAGTGAGCTCCGCGAGGAAATGTGGACCAGGCACAAGTATCCCCACTCAAAGTTCTTTACGCACGGAATCGCTCGTTACGAATGCCCGGAAGTGGTCAGAGAAATTCTTGACCTCAGATTCGCCCAGGCCCCTGCAGGCAGGCTGAGGTTAGTCGATGTTTTTTTTTTAGTGTATGATAATTCACGAGGTGTGTCTGTCCTATTGATTAGCAGTCACATTTTTTCGTGAGGTGTCTATCTGCTTGATGAGAAGAAGCGTCATTCGTGGGGCGTGTCTGTCTTATATGTGAGAAGAAGCGTGCTTCGTGGGGCGTGTCTGTCATATATGTGAGAAGAAGCGTCATTCGTGTGGCATGTCTGTCTGCTTGTTTAGAAAAAGCGTCATTCGTGGGGTGTTTCTGTCTGCTTGGTGAGAAGAAGCGTCATTCGTGGGGCGTGTCTGTCTGCTTGTTTAGAAGAAGCGTCTTTCGTGTGGTGTGTCTGTCTGCTTGTTTAGCAGAAGCGTTATTCGTGGGGCGTATCTGTCTGCTTGCTTAGAAGAAGCATTATTCGTGGGGCGTGTCTGTCTGTTTGTTTAGAAGAAGCGTCTTTCGTTGGGTGTGTCTGTCTGCTTGTTTAGAAGAAGCGTCATTCGTGGGGCGCGTCTGTCTGCTTAGTTAGAAGAAGCGTTATTCGTGGGGTGTGTCTGTCTGCTTGTTTAGAAGAAGCTTCATTCGTGGGGCGTGTCTGTCTGCGTGGTGAGAAGAAGCGTCATTCGTGTGGCGAGTCTGTCTGTTTGTTTAGAAGAAGCTTCATTCGTGGGGCGTGTCTGTCTGCGTGGTGAGAAGAAGCGTCTTTCATGGGGCGAGTCTGTCTGTTTTTTTAGAAGAAGAGTCATTCGTGGGGCGTGTCTGTCTGTTTGTTTACAAGAAGCTTCATTCGTGGGGCGTGTCTGTCTTTTTGTTTAGAAGAAGAGTCATTCGTGGGGCGTGTCTGTCTTTTTGTTTAGAAGAAGGGTCATTCGTGGGGCGTGTCTGTCAGCGTGGTGAGAAGAAGCGTCATTCGTGGGGCGTTTCTGCCTGCTTGGTGAGAAGAAGCGTCATTCGTGGGGCGTGTCTGTCTGCTTCTTTAGAAGAAGCGTCTTTCGTGGGGTGCATCTGTCTGCTTGTTTAGAAGAAGAGTCATTCGTGGGGCGTGTCTGTCTGTTTCCTTGCTGAGAAGAAGCGTCATTCGTGGGGTGTGTCTGTCTGTGTGGTGAGAAGAAGAGTCATTCGTGGGGCGTGTCTGTCTGTTTGTTTAGAAGAAGAGTCAGTCGTGGGGCGTGTATGTCTGTTTGTTTAGAAGGAGCTTCATTCGGGGGGCGTGTCTGTCTTTTTGTTTAGAAGAAGAGTCATTCGTGGGGCGTGTCTGTCTGTGTGGTGAGAAGAAGAGTCATTCGTGGGGCGTTCGGTCTGGTGGTTTGGAAGAAGAGTCATTGGGGGGGGGTGCTTGTCTTTTGTTGAGAAGAAGAGTCATTCGTGGGGCGTGTCTGTCTGCGTGGTGAGATCTGTCTTTTTGTTTAGAAGAGGAATCATTCGTGGGGCGTGTCTGTCTGTTTGGTGAGAAGAAGAGTCATTCGTGGGGCGTTCTGTCTGTTTGTTTAGAAGAAGAGTCATTCGTGGGGCGTGTCTGTCTTTTTTTTAGAAGAAGAGTCATTCGTGGGGCGTGTCCGTCTGCGTGGTGAGAAGAAGCGTCATTCGTGGGGCGTGTCTATCTGCGTGGTGAGAAGAAGCGTCTTTCGTGGAGCGTGTCTGTCTGCGTGGTGAGAAGAAGCGTCATTCGTGGGGCGTGTCTGTCTGTGTGGTGAGAAGAAGAGTCATCAGTTGGGCGAGTCTGTCTGTTTGTTTAGAAGAAGCGTCATTCGTGGGGCGTGTCTGTCAAGTTGCCTCTAAAAGACGCCCTCTGAGTAAAACAAGAGTAGATGCTCGACCGTAGTTTTGAAGCACGCCTCCGCAGCTCTTGACAGATTTGTTGTCCATAATAATCACGTCTCTAGTTCTTTACTTGTGATAGAAACACATTCTACGTGATGCTGTGGTCACTTCTTGCCTACAAAACATGGTCATCTCATCACAACATGGTCATCCCATCACAACATGATAATCTCATCAGAACATGGTTATCTCATCATGACATGGTCATCTGATCACAACATGGTCAACTCATCACAACCTGTTCATCTCAGCACAACATGGACATCTCATCACAACATGGACAAATCATCACAACATGGACATCTCATCACAACATAGTCTTCTCATCACAAGATTTCATCATAACATGGACATCTCATTATAACATGGACATCTCATCATAACATGACATCTCATCATAACATGGAAATTGCATCATAACATACAGACATTACATCATAACATATAGACATTTCTTCATAACTTCATATCATAGACATCTCATCAAAACACGGCCGTCTCATCATTTTATGGACCGTTTAGCATCATGTTGCTGTGAACTCGAAAGTCAATAAATGTTGAACTTGTATGCTAACGATATGAGAAGGGAGGAAAAGGATGGGAAATCCCTTCATACAATACAACAAAATAGCCTAAAACTAACCCTATCAACCAACCCTACCAGCCAACCCTACCAGCCAACCTTACAAGCCAACGCCCACCAGCCAACGTAACAAGTCATCCCAACAAGACAACCCTAAAAGATAACTCTACCAGACAACCCTAACAGACAACCCTAACAGTCGACCCTAACAGTCGACCATACCGGAGAACCCTACCGGGTCAGCCATACAAGTCCACCCTACAAGACACTCCAACCTTACAAGGTCCCAACAAGACAACCTTAAAAGGCAACCCCGCCAGACAACACTACAACCCAAATTAACTTAAAACAAAAAAACCCTGCCAGCCAGCGCCCACAAGCCAACACTTCTAAACAACCCAACTCTACAAGACAACCTTACCAGCTAACCAACACAACCCGGCAAGCCTACGAGTACAAGACAACCTTACAAGACAACCTTACTAGCTAACCCTACCAGCCAGCGCCCACAACCCAACACTTCTAAGTACAAGAGACAACCTTACTGGCTAACCCTGCCAGCCAGCGCCCACAGCCCTATACTTCTAAACAACCCAACCCTACAAGACAACCTTACCAGCTAACCCTACCAGCCAACACAACCCGGCAAGCCTACGAGTACAAGACAACCGTACAAGACAACCTTACTTACTAGCCAACACTACAAGACAACCTGACTTACTAGTCAACCCTACCAGCCAACACAACCCAGCAAGCCTACAAGTACAACACAACCCTACAAGACAACCTTACTAGCTAACCCTACCAGCCAACACAACCCGGCAAGCCTACGAGTACAAGACAACCCTAAAAGACCAACTGAAAGACTGTAGCTGCTGTGGTCGGCGAACTTCAAAGCCATCATCACGCGTGTGTACTTCAACGTTGAAAAATGAGAAAGGGAGAGGGAGGATAACAACTTAAACTAATTACATTGACTACTCCAATATCCGTGGGTGTAATGAAAGGTCTTGAAAATGGGGTAGAAATCAATGGCTGGTATCTAGGTCTCTGGGCCACGTTCAACTACGGTCAAGACAGACATGCCTAAGTTACGGAAGTAAACATCTTATTTACAGCCGGGACTTCTTTGAATACAAACGTGTAACCCATACGTCAACTTTGCCAGTGCACATTGCCGTATGGTCATCATCATATTCGAAATTACAGTTGTTGCTAGGTGGGCTAACATTTCCCATTCTTAAACAAGGGATTTATCTTCACGCTCAAATTACGACAATGATAAGTGTTTTGCCAGTGCATACCTGTGGTCTCCTGTCGAGCGGCGACCACGCTGTGAATAATTAATAACACGGTATGATAGTGATTAGTTAAACAAAAAATGTTTAACTTTGGTTCGGACTGCCGTGTCACACTTTGGTCCATTGTGACACTTTGGTCCGGTGTTCCATGTGACACTTTGGTCAGGTGTGACACTTTGTTCAGGTGTGACACTTTGGTCCGGTCTGCCGTGTCACACTTTGGTCCAGTGTGACACTTTGGTCCGGTGTTCCATGTGACACTTTGGTCCGGTGTTCCATGTGACACTTTGGTCAGGTGTGACACTTTGGTCCGGTGTTCCATGTGACACTTTGGTCCGGTGTTCCATGTGACACTTTGGTCAGGTGTGACACTTTGTTCAGGTGTGACACTTTGGTCCGGTCTGCCGTGTCACACTTTGGTCTAGTGTGACACTTTGGTCCGGTGTTCCATGTGACACTTTGGTCAGGTGTTCCATGTGACACTTTGGTCAGGTGTGACACTTTGGTCCGGTCTGCCGTGTGACACTTTGGTCCGGTCTGCCGTGGGACACTTTGGTCCGGTGTTCCATGTGACACTTTGGTCAGGTGTGACACTTTGGTCCGGTCTGCCGTGGGACACTTTTGTCCGGTGTGACACTTTGACATGGTCTGCCGTGGGACACTTTGGTCCGGTGTGACACTTTGGTCCGGTGTGACACTTTGACATGGTCTGCCGTGGGACACTTTGGTCCGGTGTGACACTTTGGTCCTGTGTGACACTTTGGTCCGGTGTGACACTTGGGTCAGGTGTGACACTTTGGTCCGGTGTGACACTTTGGTCCGGTGTGACACTTTGGTCCGGTGTGACACTTTGGTCCGGTGTGACACTTTGGTCCGGTGTGACACTTTGGTCCGGTGTGACACTTTGGTCCGGTGTGACTTTTTGGATACTTGCATTGTGATTTGTTGTTTAAAAATTCATTTCTATGCTTTGTTTTTATGCTGGTTTGAGTTTGAGTGAAAAATCTTACCCAAAAAAAAAAAACATATTTGACTACATCAACGTGACAAATTTTGAAAATGTTTGCATTTTTAGATATTTTGAGCATACGCAGTCGCGTCACTAGGGGTACGAGGTGTGGACTATACTAAATAGTATAACAAAATTATACGTTCAAAAAAGAAAATTGAAGCAAAAATTTTAACGAAAAAACTAAAAAGAAGATTCGACCAAATTTCCGTTCCATCAAATTACCGTCGATCAATTAACCGTCGAGGAAATTTCTTTCGATCAAATTTCCGGACACGTGCCCGATCTAGTATTGCAAGAATCTAAAAAGTTCGCTAAAAAAAAAAAAAAGCAATTATTATAATTTTATTTATGTCTATTGAGCTGTCATTACCCCAAGATTTCCATTTTACTCCATTTGGGGTAATATACCCTAGCTAATTCGCCGACCACTGTGTAACCTGATACTAGATCTATGTCACTGGTAAAAAAACAAAAAAACAAAACATGTTATTTTTCCCCGTCAACTGGTGTAACCTGATACTAGAAATGTCGTGTCACTGAAAAAAAAACATGTAATTGAACAGGACTGATTTACTGGCATAATATTCTAAGTTGGACCACATAAAAAATCTGGAAGCCCCAATTACCGTAAATTCTCTTGTAAACGAAATGCCACTGTTGTTTAAACAAGGAACGTTTTTGGTGTTTAAAAATACACGGTCATCTGGTCGTCTATGACAGTTTAGGCGAGATTTAAATCAAGTTGACGGCACGGGTTCAATTCTAGTTCAGATGAAGCTAACGCCAGCAAAGAAGATAACAAATGCACAGGTTGGAACAAATCTGTTTTTCTCATACCACGCCATAGAAACAAATCTGCTCTTCACATATCACGAACTAGGGATGACAATCTCATCTCACAGAATAGATAGAAAACATAAATGTTGACTGACTGTGCCCATGAAATTGAAAATGAATTTTATCATGTCTTTAACCAAGACTGTCTGTCTTTATCCAAGACTGTCTGTCTTTATCCAAGACTGTCTGTCTTTATCCAAGACTGCCTGTCTTTATCCATGACTCTATCTAAGACTATGTCTGTCTTTGTCACTGGTAGAGAAGCTCACATGCGAGCTATGGGATTTCTTTGTTGGGGGGGGGGGGGGGTGGAAGAGAGAAGGTGGTTCAGAGGGTGTTAACCCTCAAAATCTACTCTTTAATTGTATTCCTAGATAAAGAGTTAAGTCCCTTTAACCGTGATTTTTTTAAAAATTCGATTTTTATAAAGTAAAATTGTTTGTTGGGGGGGGGGGGGGAGGTGGAAGAGAGAAGGTGGTTCAGAGGGTGTTAACCCTCAAAATCTACTCTTTAATTGTATTCCTAGATAAAGAGTTAAGTCCCTTTAACCGTGATTTTTGTAAACATTCGATTTTTATAAAGTAAAAAAAGTACAAATCTAGCCACCAAAGACACACTTTCTCCCTTGTATTGACAGACAAAATCTAACCACCAATGACACACTATCTCCCTTGTATTGACAGACAAGATCTAGCCACCAATGACACACTTTCTCCCTTGTATAGACAGACAAAATCTAACCACCAATGACACACTTTCTCCCTTGTATTGAGAGACAAAATCTAACCACCAATGACACACTTTCTCCCTTGTATTGACAGACAAAATCTAACCACCAATGACACACTATCTCCCTTATATTGACAGACAAGATCTAGCCACCAATGACACACTTTCTCCCTTGTATTGACAGACAAAATCTAACCACCAATGGCGCATTTTCTCCCTTGTATGGACAGACAAGATCTTGCTACCAAAGGCACACTTTCTCACTTGTATTGACAGACAAGATCTTGCCACCAAAGGCACACTTTCTCCCTTGTATTGACAGACAAGATCTAGCCACCAATGACACACTTTCTCCCTTGTATTGACAGACAAGATATTGCCACCAAAGGCACACTTTCTCCCTTGTATTGACAGACAAGATCTTGCTACCAAAGGCGCACTTTCTCCCTTGTATTGACAGATAAGATCTTGCCACCAAAGGCACACTTTCTCGGTTGTATTGACAGACAAGATCTAGCCACCAAAGACACACTTTCTCACTTGTATTGACAGACAAGATCTAGCCACCAATGACACACTTTCTCCCTTGTATTGACAGACAAGATCTTGCCACCAAAGGTGCACTTTCTCCCTTGTATTGACAGACAAGATCTTGCCACCAAAGGCACACTTTCTCCCTTGTATTGACAGACAAGATCTAGCCACCAAAAGCGCACTTTCTCCCTTGTATTGACAGACAAGATCTTGCCACCAAAGGTACACTTTCTCCCTTGTATTGGCAGACAAGATCTAGCCACCAAAGGTGCACTTTCTCCCTTGTATTGACAGACAAGATCTTGCCACCAAAGGCACACTTTCTCCCTTGTATTGACAGACAAAATCTAACCACCAATGGCGCATTTTCTCCCTTGTATTGACAGACAAGATCTTGCCACCAAAGGCACACTTTCTCCCTTGTATTGGCAGACAAGATCTAGCCACCAAAGGTGCACTTTCTCCCTTGTATTGACAGACAAGATCTTGCCACCAAAGGCACACTTTCTCCCTTATATTGACAGACAAGATCTTGCTACCAAAGGCGCACTTTCTCCCTTGTATTGACAGACAAGATCTTGCTACCAAAGGCACACTTTCTCCCTTGTATTGACAGACAAGATCTAGCCACCAAAGACACACGTTCTCCCTTGTATTGACAGACAAGATCTTGCCACCAAAGACACGCCGGACACATGCAGACTCTCATTTCAAGATCTCAGTTCAGTGTCCACCTGGAACTATCCGCTCCTGCTGGCCAAATGTCCGTACCCCCATCAGCTGGAGACACCACTCACCTGGGCCAGGCTTCATCAAGAACAGCTGCACTCTAGGATGGATGGGAAGGTCAGTAGGTGAGCCATGGACTCAAATTAGCCGGATGATTGGCTCAGGTAAGGGTGATTTCGTCAGGTAATTAGGATTTGGTCAGGTAATTATGATTTGATCAGGTAAGTTTTATTTGCTCAGATGATTGTTTTGGTAAAGATGACTGACTAATGTAAGAATGATTGGCTCAGGTAAGGAGGATTAGGTCAGGTAAGTTCGTTGGAGGCTGTAATCAGGCGCCTTGTCAGTTGATTGTGTTGTTTTTTTTTGTGATGAAACAGAGACTTAACATCTCTACGCTAGTACTGTAGCAACACTTAGCTAGCACTGTAGAAACAATTTGCTGCTGTGATGACAAAAGAGACTTAACATCCCTACGCTAGCACTGTAGCAACAATTTGCTGCTGTGATGACAACAGAGACTTAACATCCCTACGCTAGCACTGTAGAAACAATTTGCTGCTGTGATGACAACAGAGACTTAACATCCCTACGCTAGTACTGTAGCAACAATTTGCTGCTGAGATGACAACAGAGACTTAACATCCCTACGCTAGCACTGTAGCAACAATTTGCTGCCGTGATGACAACAGAGACTTAACATCCCTACCCTAGTACTGTAGCAACAATTTGCAGCTGTGATGACAACAGAGACTTAACATCCCTACGCTAGCACTGTAGCAACAATTTGCAGCTGCTATTTCTGAATTCATATTTTATTCATGATGTTGGGTGAGTTATTTGACCAGTACACAAAAGGAAATCGATTGGATAATACAAACAGTGGTGATTTTAGAGTTAACTAACCAAATTATCAACTCATATATAGGCCGACATTTTTTTAAACATTTCTGCAGCTGACACATCCCATTACTTTATCTTGGTATTGTAGAATGACGTTCAATTATATTTTATACTGGCTGTGCGTAGCCGGACGTCACTTAAAATGACCGTTCATTATAATGTATTTATTTGATTGACAGTTCTTTACGGTTGTATTGTCCCTTATTAATTTTGTTTACACAGTTTACGTTGATTGCAGAAAGGTTAAATATATTTCCTTTATTGTATTTTACATCATACATTTCATTGCAGTTCTGCATACAGCTTTCAGTTTCTTTGTCTATGTCTAACGTCTTAGCCTACGTCTAAGTATTGTTTAAGTCTATGTTGAGTATAGGTCGAACTCTATGTTGAAGTCTATGGCTAAGTCTATGCTTAAGTCTATGTTTAAGTCTATGTCAATGTCGAAGTCTATGTCTTAGTCCAAGTCTAAGGCCTTGAAATACCAACTGAATCATCCTGACATTAGCATTGTTACTACTATTGTAGTAGTTGAGAGTTTCTTTGGAAATTGAGATGTTTTCATGAGGGTCATCTCTTAGGGTCATATGCTATAAGTTCATATAGGTATATAACTAGATGTATGAGTTTGAGACATTTTTGTTAGTCTTAAATTAAGTCCCTCTCATGAAAGTGTTGTACAAATGTCACAGACTGACAAATCGTCTATGCTGTTTTTGGGACACCATCTTTTGAATACGTGAGACTGACAAAGAGAATCACTAAATGCATGCCCGGGAAACACCGGGAATTTCAGCTAGTGTATTATACAAAAACGGTATTGATGTTCACGCTTGAATAAATTCATTTCTGTCTCCTCCATGTTTGATGGTCTAGGACCCAGCCAGGGTGAATCAACCCGTCTTCCCCTACTGCTGTAGAGGTCAGGATTACGTCTGCAGCTCAGTCTACTGTAGGTCACCATTACCAGAGGCGGTGTACAACCCAGGGCCGCTCAGTAAAGGGGACGCACTCATTAAATGGCACCTGGATGTTTACAGGGGGAAATAACCAACGAACAGACGCTTTTTAATATGATAGCCATAGAGCGAATGAGTGAGTTCCCCTTTGGTGCAGTGCAATAAATAATAAATATAGTTTCTGAACCACATCCATATAATTTCTGAACCACATCCACATAGTTTCTGAACCACATCCATATAATTTCTGAACCACATCCATATAGTTTCTGAACCACATCCATATAGTTTCTGAACCACATCCATATAGTTTCTGAACCACATCCATATAGTTTCTGAACCACATCCATATAGTTTCTGAACCACATCCATATAGTTTCTGAACCACATCCATATAGTTTCTGAACCAAATCCATATAATTTCTGAACCACATCCATATAGTTTCTGAACCACATCCATATAGTTTCTGAACCACATCCATATAAGTGGATATGATATAGTTTCTGAACCACATCCATATAAGTGGATATGATATAGTTTCTGAACCACATCCATATAAGTGGATATGATATAGTTTCTGAACCACATCCATATAAGTGGATATGATATAGTTTCTGAACCACATCCATATAAGTGGATATGATATAGTTTCTGAACCACATCCATATAAGTGGATATGATATAGTTTCTGAACCACATCCATATGAGTGGATATGATATAGTTTCTGAACCACATCCATATAAGTGGATATGATATAGTTTCTGAACCACATCCATATAAGTGGATATGATATAGTTTCTGAACCACATAATACATCAAATACAATATTTACATGACTAGCATAAACCATAATGTAAATGAAATGTTTGTTGTTCATATTATACTTGTACAAAAAGAAACATATGGTGATTGTTGTACATATTTTTGAAGTTATATCTTATATCCGAGGTTCTATGTGTTGGTGGTCAATCGTTTTTCATCTTTCTTATTTTACAATGGTTACATCAACCGTGTACTTGTATTTATAGTCATGCAACTAAGTTCTATTACTACCAAGGGGTTAAAGCAAGAACTAACTGTACTGTACGCTATAGTTGCACAACAAAAAATTAAAACATTTTTTTTCAAAAATAATGTTTCACTTTTTATTTATTAATGTGAACATTCATCTTTTCCATCATCATCAGCATCATCTTCATCATCATCTTCCCACACTTGTACTTGTATGGATAACATGTTTCGTTCTTATTAAGAGGTCCTATTTTCAAGCCTGGAGAAATCTCACACATTGTGTTTTTATACAATAGCTGTCTATACCGGTAGATGTACTGTGATAGCCATGGGGATATGGGCTTAATGACTTAATGCTTCATAACTGTAGTTTCAGCCACTCATCAGACACACACACACTAAAAACAAGAGGAGTTCAAATCCCAGGCCCTAGTGCTACAATTACAATGTTTACAGGAAATTTGGGTCAAAGAAAATTGTTTGATGGATATTTGTTAAAAATTCATAAGGCCCATTAAAAACAAAAATTAGGCATATCTGACTGTAAAGGGTTAACTCATTTCTTTAAATCGGTACTTATACAGGTATACAAAAATAAGTTAAAATATTTTCATGTGATTTCAGCCATGACAAGTGTAAGAAGATGACATCGAAACAAGCCTCATCAGCAGCAACAATTTTTCTGATGAGTTCTTGCATGTAATAATTTACGACTAAAACCTCGTTAGATCACAACTACCTCCTTTTATTAGTCTTTGGCCTGAACATTGGTTTTTTAACTTTATTGTGAACTGTGTTGAATTTTGACTTCTTCTTTCCCTCCCTCTTGTCACCCATTTTTTTCCCTCCCCCAGATTTTGAACCAAACTTGACAGAAAATTTGCTTCTTTTATTCTTGACCTCGGTGCCTGCATTTCTGGCTCTGTTTCTCTTCTCTTTGATATCCCTTGGCCCGGAGCCTCCGCTTTTGTCCTGTCTTTTGAACCTGGGCTTATCTTGTCGCTGGCGTTTAGGGCTCGGACCTGACGCCTCCTGCTTTGTGACTTTTCGTTTTCTGGTCTTAGAGAACATCTCTGCCGGCAAAGACAAAACATTTCATAGTCAACCAAGCTAATGTTTGTATTATGTATTTCTAATGGCAAATTGGTTTTAAGTATTACACAATTTATGACAGTTAAAAGAGCTGAATATCCCACGTTTCACAGGTTTGAAATCAATAAAATGTGTTAACAATCATAAAAACAGAATTAAAATTATGTGTCAAAATTAAAAGAATAATAATATTGAAATGAAGAAATGAAAGAAAGATCTAACATTTAAAGATGATCCTCCAAGTGTTAGATGTAGAAATAAAAGTCTTCTTTTTAAGGCAGATTTCAATTAATTTATTTAATGAAGACTGAGTCTACACTTAAACTTGAAGTACAGATGTCTAAAAATGACCAATAAGCTTTAACTCTTTCGATGCAGAACAATGCACACTCCGTTCATCCGCCGTTCTCAAAAGCACGGACCAACGCGCTGTGCGTTGTTTCAATATCATGTTTGTTTCTTTGCTATTTCTCAGTTAAACTTTTTTAAGAGCTATTTTTAAATAAGACTTTTACATAGAAGAGTGGTACTTCATTGTTTAAAAGCGAAACCAAGGTTTATTTGTTGTCATTTGAAGCATTATTTTAATGATTTTCTTCTCTCTTTTTTTCTACTGTTGCTATGGCTACTCTAGGCCCTAGTAGGTGAGTAAGTTTCCTGGACGATTAACAGCTCAAAAAGCTTTGGAATTGTTTCATACTATTTCTTTTGATGATTTATATTTAGATCCATCACATGATTCTGAGGGTAGTAGTTTTAGAGGATTTGAGTTATAGAAGTGAAGATGAGGTATGCCTACATCATAGGGTTTGGGGAAAAAATGGTTTAGCATAAAAATTTTTCACATGTTATGGTTCTTTTCTGTAACTTATTTTATTTAAACTGAAGAAATAAGTTTACACACATATAGTCCTTTCAATTATCTTTCATTTGATACCAAGTTTTGTCTTATAAACCAAAGAATAATAATTTAAATATTTTTTTTTAATAAACCCAACCTCTCACTCTTTTTCGTCTTCGAAGAAATTGTACATTTTTTTGATAAAAAAATTCCACAGTGAAAGAGTTAAGAAGTACAGATGTCTAAAAAAATTGACCAGTTAATTCAGCCGTTCTCAACCTGTGGGTCGCGACCCCTTTGGGGGTGGCGGGACCCTTTTCCAGGGGTTGCCTAAGACCAACTGAAAACATATATCCTTACAGCAATGAAGTAGCAACGAAAATAATTGTATGGCTTGGGGGTCGCCACGACACGAGAAACAGTATTAAGGCGTCGCGGCACTAGAAAGGTTGAGAACCACTGAGTTAATTTGAGTTCTTTTAATCCTTAAAATCCTCATCTCTAAAAATGTCTGAGGGTTGCTGTCCTCTAGCTACTATGTGAGTGGTTAACCCTTATGATTTTCCCCCTTAGCAATATAAATTAAAGGACTGCATCAAGCCTAGTAAATGAATGAAATAGCAAAGCGAGGTATGTGGAAGCTTGAATTAGAGAACAGGACAAAAGATAAGGACGTTTCGGCATAAAGCCTTCTTCAGCTAACAGTAAAAATGAAAATATCACAAAGAACAGAGCACAGTAGACAACTCAAGAAGTATCCATTGTTGTCGCCGGAAGTGGGAACACAGGAAGCGAAAGAATATAAATATTGACACTGTGAAAAATTAGGTCCACAATAATAATGGACCAGAATATCCAGGGATACATCAACACACAGCAATAAGAAAATAGATAAAATATAGTGAAAGAGAGAAACATCAGTAGGATATTATTTGATTAATACCATATGGAGATATGGTGCTAAACAGATGAATAAATTTATTTTCCATTTTAACCATCTCTAGTGTGTTACTGCATGAAATAAGTGCGTAATGGTTACATCCAATGCACCTTTATGTTCTTTTCTGTTGAAATGAGAAGAGACTGGGGAAGGTTTACATTGCTTAACAAAGAGCTTATTTTAGATATGAAATATAAAGGATGTTTATAATTGTATTTTTTTTTACATTGAATGTAATATATATTCTTACCAGGCTCAGGTTCTTCACCAACTTCTTGCTTGTAGTACTCTACATCATCATCTGTCCATGTAAAATATAGTTTAAAACTTGGTATAATAAGTAGTTAACCTTAGGAATAAGTCAAGGAATAGCTAGTTAACACTTTTAATTCTATAAATAGCTAGATAGACTAAGACATTTCCCATGCAAAAAGTTGCTCACTGATTTATTATTTTATTTAAGATTACAGGAGCTAACCCCTTCATTTAAAACAAAAACATCTTCAGTGAAGTCCCTTAACCCTTGAACTGTGGCATGCATCATGCTGTGGTGTGGGAGCTTTTCAGAGCTTTTTGAGTGCCTTTTCAAATTGCATTAAATGACATAGAAATATTGAGACAAGAATCCAATAAGAATATACTTTTAGAAAGGTAAATGGATAGCTATGAAGTTGGCTATATTGCCCACCCTGTTAAAAAATTTTGCTCAGTGTCCTTGATCTTGGAGTGCTCAAGGAAAAAAAATCAACAAAATGCTTTTAAGTGCTCATAACATCATTAATTTTTATAGATACACTTAAAACACTCATCTAAATGTTGTAGCCAATTCATTTATCTTTCAGAAAATGTATAGTTTGCTAAGATTTTTTTTTACAATTGAACCTCTGAAAGCAATTTTAGTAATTTTAGGTCATTTATATAAGAAACTGGGACCACAGCCAAAACCAAGTATAAAATACGAAATCTCAGGCAAAATAAAAAAAAAAGTTATTATTGACTAGTAAACCTTTAAAAATGAATTTTGGAACTGATTTGGGTTGTTTAACTATAAAATTTATTAGTTCTGATCTGTAATCTGTAGCTTCTGTGATTAAAATTCAGTCAGCCCTTGCCCAACCTCCGGGCCTGGCTAGAAGTCTAACAGTAGGCCTACTTCAGTATCACTAAGACTAGTATAAGATTCACGAGAAGAAGAATCTCTCATGGAGAATGTTCAAATCATCATCAGTATCACTTAAATCCTCTCCTAAAAAGCTTTCAAACATATTTCTATTAGTTCTTGCACTGAAGGCCCAGCCATAGCTTTCAAACATATTTCTATTAGTTCTTGCACTGAAGGCCCAGCCATGGCTTCAACCATTTTACCTTTAAAAAAAACAGCGATATAAAATCTCCGATTAAAAATACTTATTGTTAAGTTAGAAAACAGCTTGAACCGGAAGATGATTTTTTTTATTAATAAAAGGAAGTGGCTATAATTCTGGTTAAATATTGGATTGGAAGTTGCTATCGGACCGTGTTTTTAATCGGCCGATTTCTTCGGCCGACCACAGTTCGAGGGTTAATGATACTAAGCTTTGACATTTTTCAACAACTTCTGCAGCTTTTCTTTAATACTATACTAATAGACCCTAGTTATCCAAGGAAAGTCTAGAGGTAATCCTTGGAGCGGATGTGCAGACCAAGGATTCAAATCATTTTCCATACAAGTTTCATTCTTTTTCACTAAGCCTGTAGATATCGAATTCATTTGTGTAATATTGGCTGAGGAGGGTGGTGAAGCCAATCATTAAAAAAAAATAAAATAAAGATAGTTTCTCCAATCCAATATTATAATTCTCTAGTAAAACCAAAGTCTTCTTGATTTCCCCAAATTGGGGCAGGGTGCATTTGTATACACATTGAAAGATGAGCAGCTGAAAATACTAAGATAATAAATGGGCTGATTTTTAGCATTTAGAAGGTTGAAACTGCCTTGCGTGGAAATTCAGCTTTGGAGAGTAGTAATTCCTGATAAACTTAAATACCTGAATCCTCATGAGCATTAGCTTCAACAGTACTTTGCTCATCACCTTCTTCCTCACTCTCCTTGTCAGTTTCTGTCTCATTTTGTTTTCTTTTCATCCCTTCCAGGGTCTTCTTGATGTGTTCCTGTTTAACTTCTTGTTTCTTCCTCACATTGGCCTCTTGTTTCTGTTTCCTGGCCATTTTTTCCTTCCTGAAGTTAGAAAATATTTTTTTAAAGTGGATTGCATTTTGAAAATGGCCCGTCTTTATGACAAAACCAAACAAAAACCTTTCATTGCTGACACAATTTTATATCTTAACAAACTAAGATGAAACAACTTGTCTTATAGTTTATGTCTTAACAAACTAAGATGAAACAACTTGTCTTATAGTTTATGCCTTAACAAACTAAGATGAAACAACTTGTCTTATAGTTTATGTCTTAACAAACTAAGATGAGACAATTTTTCTTCTATTTTGTGAATTAACGAATTAACCCCCCGCCAGATCATACTATTGTTTAACGATGGCTGTGAGTGATGTGAACTCATGGCTTCAAGTTACTGCTCCAACTATCCGACTACATTATTACTTACTGCTTCTGCTGTCTCATTAACTTCAGGGCTTCCAATTCCTCTTCAGTTTTTTCTATCAAGGAATGGAAGAGAACATTTCCTCCTTCAAAGCCTTCTTCTATCTTCACCAGCTGCAAACTCAACCGTGGACCAATCTCTTTTAATCTGACAATGATTTTAATTAAAAGTTCAGGCTGATAACATTAAACTATTCACAAAAAATTCTAAGTCAATTGTCTAAATCCCAGTGTACAGCAAATACAAATATCTACCATTTAAAAATAGGCCAAAGGGCATAATATGCCCAAATGGCCACTGGATATCAATGATGATGACCATTTAAAAATACATAATTTTAACTATAAAGAACAATAGGAGATTAATTATAAAATATTTAGGTTAATTGGTTATAAATGATTTACATTATTAAAATTATTAATATTGGCAACCTTCAGTCCAATATGAACAAATGTGCCTGTCATTTCTTGCCAATAACTTAAAAAGTTTCTAATGTTTACCAAGTAGCAGATTCCTTGCAAGTTAATGCATTCAAAGTATGGAAATTTAGAAAATGTTGTGACAATTTCTTTCACTGGATCAGGTTTGGCACGATAGAGTTGATATGTCATCTTTCAGTTTTATTGCAATGAGTTGTTTTTTTTTATAATAATAAACATTAAAATTTATAGAATTGGTGCCAATTAATCATACAGATAAAAAAAAAATTTGCACATAGCACATTCAGTCAAAAGTACTTGCTATCCACATGACTTTGAAATGGGGAAACATCTCAAAATAACTTTAGTCAAGATGTAGGATAATTATTTCTATGCCGCATTATCTCAGCTAGCATAATTAACTGATAACGAATTATATCTGATTACATCTAAATTGTTATTAAAGTCATCATCTTGGTAAATTTTTGACAAAGTTGCTATGTTGATTGATGTTAATAATTAAAAATTTGACAAAAATCAGACTTTAAACTAGCTATTTTCATTTAAAAGTTGTTATTTATCCTTTTAGGATAGAACTTAACATGTCAGAATGTGTGCTGAGCAAAGGGGAGAGTATTCATGAATTATCTTTGTTATGTTGATCTGTGTCATGTGGCTATAAAGTGTTAAAATAAGAAATTAAGAGAGATATCATTGCAAACCTTATGGCATTAACAGCATTTCTGGTAACTCCTCTGCCCTTGACCTTCTGAGTCACAGTCACCTGATTATGTGGGCCATCTTGCTCCCCCTCACTGTCTGACAGCCCCCTGGTGAAAAAAATCAGTCATTTAATGCCCAGTTATCTACTGAACATAATTACATGCACCCACAATGTACAATTCTTAGAAAAACAAATGAACCTTTCCATTTCAAGACAACTTAACCATCAAATATCTATAGATTTAACTAAAATTAAGGATATTTTAGCTATAATTCTATAAATGATGTTACGTTAGTGGCAAGGTTTCCACTGAAGCTGAAAGATCAAAAAGAGAAAATCTAAACAAAATAACCTGTTATTTTCAAAAAAATAATAAAACACAAAAACTGACACTATTTATATTTTCAGTCTGTGTCTTTCAAAATTTAAGGTGCTACTAGGTACCGAAAATTTGTTTTAATTCATATACTGAAGCACCAAGAGATGACTAGAGAAACCATTGCATAAGAAGATGGGAAATACAGACTGAATGTTTATTCATTGCATCAACTGTAAACTCACTTTTCCAAGAAAAGATCAGCAATATCTTCATGATGGCCCAAATTGGGTAATTTAGACTTCATCAATTTCTTCATCGCTCTGCTGACACCAGTTGGGACAACTTTCATAGTGCTAAAGGAAAGAAAGATATTCCATTAATGCATAAAACGGAAACAAGCAAAAAAAATAAAGTCAACATAGTGATATATTCAAGTGGCAGCTGGAGATAAGTGTAACATATAAGGACAAAGTAAAAACTATATTTTATCTACTTACTAGTGTCGCAGATCTAGAGATTTATTTTCAGTATCGTAATTGACCAAAACTGTTCTTCTCATATTATTCAACTTCACCTAAATGATACATCAAAAATTATTGAAATGAAGTAAAACAATTTTGGAAATGTTAAAGTTTTTGTTATTTTAAAATTATGAATGAAGTTATAATCCCAAAATAAAAAGGTATAGCATACAATTTACTTATGCAAATTATTTTAAAAGCATTGTCTTAAGATTAAAAGTCTTGTCTTCAGACTACATAACTATCAAAAGAAATACAGACACTTACTGTATTGGGGTTAATAGAAGGAAACATATTCTTAAAAGTAACATTCATAAGTTTGTTTTCCATTGTGTCGGAGGGTATGTTGGTCACCATGACAGCATGATTTGCAAACAGTTTAGACTCCACATCAGGGTGCTTTTGAAATGAGAGAACATCCTTGGATAAGCAGAATTCATTCACTTTAAATGTCAGTGTTGGGCCTCTCGGAACACAAATAAGCTTCATGTATGTGGCAATGTCTGTCTTTGTAAACGCAATGAAGTGTGACACATGCAGTGGTCCAGCAATAGTGAGGAAGTCCTTCATCACATTTTTCTTACGCACCTTAGATGTTAAAAATGAAGTCAAATAAGTTGAAATTGAAAGTTAATCTTATTGTGTAAGTTATACCAAATGTATTTATTCCTAAAGCAACACTGTCAAAGAATTCGTATTAATTGTGCTTTGTTAAGCACTTTAGAGCATGAAATTCCTGTACAATTATTAGGGTCTTGCCCTCAAAGAAGCTCAGAGCTTTTAAAAAACAAGCAAACAAAGCATTTCTTATCTAGAATACTGTAAAGAATAGAGTTTAGGTTTCCAAACTGTGACACATTTCCAATGTTATGGTTATTTGTATTACCCTCAGGTTCGATGCAGTATAAGGTTCCATTATTTTTCTGACATCAAATACAAGATCTTTAACTGTTCTACCAACATGACCTCTGTGAAACACAAATGAGTGTGGAGCTTTAAGGTAGACCTCCTCTTCGTTTCCAGTTGTTGGTTGACCAGCTTTGGCATTGCGAGCTGCCTTTCCTTTCTTGCCCTGTTAATTTCAGTAAATAAAATAATAAATTAACATATTCAATTTTGCAGAGACCATATGCAAAAACTTCAATTACTACAAAGTACTACAAAGTGTCTAATTTTTGTTGGGGGGGTGTCCCAAAAATAGTGTGACATCATTTATGGATAGCCCCTTAAGTTTAAGCATTTAGCTAATTGGGGGCCTAAAGTTTTTGTAAAGTTAATTTAAATAATAAATAACCTATAATATTAATATAGACCATAAGAAATATAAATGATCATGAGTTGATCGGTGATTAATTTCTTCCTGTTTCCTGGATGCAAACCTTTTCTAACTGATTGATTTTGCACCTGGGGTGAAGCCCGAACATGGCACTCTTGTTTGATTAATAAATTATGTATGATATACACCTATATATATTAATATTATGATTATGGTCCATCATAAAATGGATAATCTGCAATTTTTACAGTGACAGCCCCTGTTGTTGGCACCCTAAAATGGATGGCTATGCAAAGGTCGTGGTAATCCAGTAAATCACTCAGGGTCCTCAAGAGTAGAGCATAAATTAATACTGATGTTTATGTGATTATTTTGAAATTTTTTGGGTCCAAGTTTTGGATTTTCTCGGTGCCCTAGCCTTAAAAATCCTCTTCGATTCAAAGCCCTGCCTGAGCAGCTACCCATTTCACATGGCCCTGACTGCATTACCTAAATAATTAATTAATTAATGATAATGGTATTGCATGTGAATTACTAACTACTATTATTAACAAACTAACACTCATTCAACAAATAATTAGTTGATTAATAATTAATTTCTATTATTCAAAAAATTAATAATTAATATGACTCACTTTCAGTTTCAGAGAGGTAATTGTTTTTTTACTAAGACTACCGGTACTACTAAAAGACTAAAAGTTAAAGACAATAAATATAATAATAAAGAATAAAGGCAAAGGCAATGGCTAGAGTTAACGGCACTATAAAAATGAGATTAAACCCGAAATGTTAATAACTAGCTATAAGCAATAACAACAAAAATTAAACTGATTCGTGAATGACATCATGATCATGCTGGCGATTAGGCTGATTTTGCAGACGATGAACACATTCACATTGAACACGCTTCGTTCCAGCATGCTCGTTATCGATAATGCATAATGCTGCTATTATGTATTGTGCATCATGGTTAGCTTATTTCAAATTATTTTAATAAATAAATAGAGCTGAGGTGTAAAATAATACATTTATTTTAGACTTTGGATGAGAAAATCTAAACCATGTCATTTGTAAAGTTAAAGAATTCTTACCTTTTTCCTGCCCATTTCAAGTTTCTTTGATTTGTTTACAGATTACAAATAAAAAGTAAAACTGTTAGAATGAATATGCTGTTGAGTTGAACTTATTGAATTAAAACGAAACAATTCACCTAGAATTTTGCGATGTTGTTTTAATTAACCGGCGCCATACCTTTGGTGCCACTGGAAATGGAGGAGGGGCTAAATTGGAGAGCAAGACAAATATTTGTATACATTTAAATATTTTTAAAATTAATTTTGTTAATTTTTAAAGAATAAAAATGTTATTTCTATAAATGTCTGTGCACATTGATTTGAATATATGTTATAAATCTGTATTTTATATGTTATAAATCTGTATTTAAATATATAATATAAATATAGATTTCATAAGCTTGGGTTGGGGGGGGGGGGATTTTTAGTTATTTCTGTGGAGGCCATGGCATATGACCTTGGAACGCCTCTTGTTTAAACCATAGTTTGTGTGTGCTTGGGTTGGGGGGGGGGGGAATTTTAGTTATTTCTGTGGAGGCCATGGCATATGACCTTGGAACGCCTCTTGTTTAACACATAGTTTGTGTGTGACGCCTAGGATGGTCACTGACTTTGTCATCCCTAATTCACGTAAATTACAAAACATAAAGGGGTACATATCAAACATAAACATTTGAATCATTTGCAGTAGCCCTAAAATGACGCCCTAAAAAGGGTTCCACGCCCACTTCCTACGTGCACATTTGGGGGCCTTCCATAAATAACGTCACCCATCTAGGGGGATGGCCGTCACAAATTTGTGACTATCTAGTGTGAGGATGTCTAAATTGTCTAACAATTTTTATTTTTTTTAATAATGTGGGAGGGTGGTCCGAAATAGGCCAATGTAGCGGACGTCATCTATGGATGGCCTCTTTGTACCTTCTAAAGACCAATTTGTTGTTCTTAACATGTGGTCAGCTTAAATGTGTCCTTATTTTGCTTTGTAATATTTTTATATGCATTTTAATACTTTATTATAACATTATTTTTGGGAAGGGTCCATGCAGTAGCGCCCTGGGCAGGACAAGTTTTTTGCACCCCCTTCCACGAAAAAACTCTCCAGTTTGCCGAAACTAGAGTTTGTGCAGCCCGGGTCAAGATTTTTCCACACCTTCCAATAAAAAAAATAATAAACTCTACATTTGTCCGAAAATTACGCCCTTTCATGTAAAGAAAAATGTGGCACCGGGGTGGATCATCCCCTCCGTACCCCCTTCCAACCCCATTTCTGCACCACTAAGTCCAATGACTTCTGACTGTCAAAAAACAAACCCACAGATAGTCATAGTTATCTATTGTACTCATCCTCTCACCCCAAATCATGCAAAGACTCTATACCTTTCTCTCCGTATCCATAAATTTGATCGAAAGAAATTTCGCCGACGGTAAATTGATGGACGGTAATTTGATCGAACGGAAATTTGGTCGCATCTTTTTTTTTTTTTTTTTACGTTAAAATTTTGCTTCAAATTTCTTTTTTAACGTATTATTTTACCGTATCCATAAATTTGATCGAAAGAAATTTCGCCGACGGTAAATTGATGGACGGTAATTTGATCGAACGGAAATTTGGTCGCATCTTTTTTTTTTTTTTTTTTTTACGTTAAAATTTTGCTTCAAATTTCTTTTTGAACGCATTATTTTATTTTACTATATGGTATTGTGCGTTGAAAAAGTACTTCACGGAAGACGACCATTTTTATAATTAGTGATTTTTTAATAATAAGATAATGGTAAATTTAAAGAAGAGATGCCATGTTGTTTTTTTCCAATGGCCGCCATCTTGGTTGACAAGACCAGTTAATTCTGTTACTAAATCTAAGTAAATGTATCCCTAACCCTAACCTGAACCCTAACCCTAAACCTAACCTGAACCCTAATTCACGGCAACTTTAATAAACACGCAAAAGACGCCGCGGCATTCGTTCTTAATTTGAGCCCGGATAAATTATCTTACATTGATCACAAGAAATGAGCAAGAAGCCAGTATAGGAACTGCTCATTCCTGCCCAAGACAATCAGGGACTGGAACAAACTTTCAAAAGAAACAGTTGAGGCGACAACACTAGACACATTTGCCTCAAGCCTTCCAACCCCCTCTGCATGATTCCTTCACAAAGTAGCACTTGTAATCATTGAAATATCCTCATCAGCACCAGGCACAGAAACATTGCAAATCCCCTCTACATGCATAGGAGCCGAAATGATCAATAAATTGATCGTGGGCCCTTAATATATTGAAGAAGAAGAAGATGAGCAGTTTTGAAATCAGACAATTTATATTTGTGTTGTAAATCGAAAACTAATAATAATAATAATAAAGTTTATTTCAAAAACACGCTTCATCCCCAAAGGCTCGAAGCGCGGTACAAAGTCAACAAAATACAAATCTATAATTTACCACATTTAAAACAAACGCAACACTACAAAAACTAATTACTAGCATACAATGGCAAAGTCTTTCTAGCCATTTCAACCCCAAGCAACACAGCCATTATGCATTAACTGGAAAATAAGGTTGACAATCATCCCAGAAGGTGTTTGCGAAATAGGTGTGTCTTTAAATT